GAGTTGGGACTTGCAAGATAATAGGCTTGGTTGTGGTGGAAAATTATAATTATAATTTAAGTGAGAGATAGATCATCAGATGTGTACGGGTGAAAAATGGACCTGTTTTTCCTTAATACAGCTCATTAATCTGCATGATCCTTAAAATATCAACACTGATTTTGGCTAGTTGAATCAAATACGTATATTGAGTAATTGACTCACTCAACCCTCGGCACTATTAAAATAATTTTGATACGGGGTATTGTATTTATACATTATAAAAGAGACATGTATTCCTATTATATAGTTCATTAATCTGGAAGATTCGTAAAATTTCTGCCCCATCTTTTATTTTAGCTGGTAGAAACAAATAAGTACAATAGGAAATGGCTTCACCCAACCCTTATTGATTTAAAACCTTGGTGAAATTTCACAAGTTGAAAGTTATGGTTTTGTTTGTTACAGTATCACGATTCTTCTTTTCAGTAAAACCCAATTCATGTCTTCTACTAGCTGACCTGTTTCCCAAAATTTTAACATCTTCATAGTTATATTGCTTAGTCTTTAATATGAAAATTCAATTTTTCTGATCCATTTGGATGAGATTCTTTTCCTTTGTGTCATTCTTCCTGTGATTACAATCCTTTGTATGTCAAAAAAATGTTAATTATGACAGGAATTCTCGAGGTTATGAATTGGCAAAAAGGTTCAACTCTAAATTCACACATATATCACCCGTTTGGTATGATCTAAAGAGGTATGTACCTCAGTTCCAAATGACTTATTGAAGTAATAGAGGGGTGGGTGCAGAGTTAAGACCTATGACCTGTGTGATGTGTAATTCTCCTTCTACCTTTTCATTAGAACTTTCAACTCTAATTTGCAGCACTAAAAAATTTCTACAAATTTTGGTTTCTCAAGTTTTCTGCCTACCATTAATTTTTCTACAAATTATGACCTGACATGGTTCCTTTTGGGAGAAGAAACAATATCCAGGGCTCACTTTAACCGACATCACAGCCTCCTTGAGGATCAGCAGAATATTTTTAATCCTCACATACTTCATAATTTATTCACTGCAATGAAATTCTGGTGACTACTTGATCATAAATCCCAGGGTTTGTCATTTAGTAGGCTTTTATTATACTGCTTTATGGTTTTGTTTCATCAGTTGTTATTGCCAGCCAACAGACTAGCTTAGTTCTAGAGGGGAGACATAATGCTGACAGAGGATGGATCTCAGAGCTTAGAAAGTCAGGAGAAGCTTTGGTACAGTGAATTATTGTCAACTTTTAGACTTATTTTCATTTCATTCATTACTGGAAAATTAAATGCCCCTTTATCCATAATTTTTTGCTGGTCTTATTTTCACTTTGAAAGCTTTTTACATGATAACATTTTTTATTTTGGATTTGTAAACTAGAAAATAGACCTGTAAAGGTTATTCCCTTTAGCTTTCTCCTTTGCTTCTTTACGAGAACGCTATTATCACTTGCCTAGTAACTTTGTTTATAATTTTTTAAGTCTCAGAACTGAATCCTTTGATCTGTCTACAGCCAGTATACATAATATGGAGCATGTTGAATGCTTAATGCTTTGTATGTTTATGATGAAATTCATCTAATGCAGCTCCGGTATATGTGTGTTTTGCAATCTAATTTGAACGAAAATATATATCCTCTAATGTCTAGTATATACTGACTGATATGTTATGAGGGATGGCTGATAATTGGAAAGAAAGTAGAGAAGAGAGAATAGCGTTACTAGGCAAGTGATAATTGGAACGAAAATATATATCCTCTAATGCCTAGTAACTCTTTATTTGGTTGACGAGAGAACCTTTTAAAAAATACAAAATTTTCTTTATTTGCATTTTCGCTCTTCCCTCTCTTTCATCTAAAGTAAATAAAGAGTGAGGTTATTGAGTACTTTAACTCATCCCAAGTAGAAGGTTGGAACAGGCTGATTTGGACCTTGTACTGGCTACAATGTAGCTGATCCCATTTTTTCTCGAACTTGTTGGACTTCACACTTGTTTAATTGTCTTGAGATTGTCTTATACTTTTCTTTGTAACTGGCCTTATATCAGTCCATCCATTTCTTTTCAATTACATGTAGATTTTGCCTAGAGTTGTTCTGGAAGCATCGCCAGCTGTGCTGTTGGGGAAGGAAAAACAAAGGAACAAAGCCATTAAACTTATAGTAACAGAGTGCAAGTAAGCCTTTAAATAGTTTTCTAGACACCTCTTGTTGGCTTTGGCATCACGGGAACAGAGTTATTTCCTGAATGTTTGAAAATGTCTTGCTTTTGCTTATATAAGCTTCTTATGGTCTCTAAATTAGCTATACTTTTTTTATCATCGTCAACTCCGGGGATAAATAATTGGATTTGTCTCTTGGTACCATGTGCAAAAGGAATTCTTGATATTGATATTGTAGTTTAGGAAGTAGTCAACTGACCACTTAATTGGTGAATGATATTGATAGGTTTGCCATAGTTTACAAAAGGCGGAAAAGACAAGGTAGTTAGTACAACTGTAATTAAATAGCTGTAACAGACTATAAATAGTCTTAGGAATGAGGAGAGTGGTCAAATTTTTGGGATTAGTGAGAAGGATTGTGGAGAGTGAGGTTCTCTCGAATAATCTCAGTTGTATTGTTGTACTAAAATTCATTTTGTTCCTTGTTTCTATTCCCTACTATATTGGTACGGGATTAGAGCACAGATAATAATAGATATCTTTCTGTTATTTCTATATTAGTTCTATCAGATAGCAAAACACTAATTAACTTAACTAACTATTGAATTAATTTGTTTTTAAACCATGACTATTTTTGCCAATAATTCATTTTTGCTTGTAATTGTCCCATTATTTATTTTATCTAAAATTGGCTTGTCGTGTATCTATTGCTTCCTTTACCTGGATAAAGGCCTTATGGTAGAGTTTCTTACCCTATAGCAAACCCATTACAAATGAATTGCATAAGTGTCAGTGTGCATGGAAGCAAGTATTCAGATAAATCAGATCTATATATGAAGCACTTCCTTTCTCACTATGTTGTGCTGTGATTTGTTTTTCATGTGAATGTATTTCTTCTGTAGGGAAATGGGATATGATGGTATTGTTTTAGAATCTTGGTCAAGGTGGGCAGCCTACGGTATCTTGCATGACCCAAACATGCGGAATTTGGTGAGCAGTCTTTTCGTTTAATCTTTTTCAATACTGTTTTTTATACAGCAAAGTTATGATACGGAACTCTGCCTATGATTCATGGATTAAGCTATTGAGCCTTCTTCCAATCTGATAGATTCCTAAATTGGGAACCTAATCAAGAACTCTCTTTCTCACCAAAAGACACAAGAAAGATAGGAAAAACTGAATATTATTCACAGAAAGAATGTTTTGTACAACTGAATACAGAGGCTTAACCCTCTTCACAGGTTAATACCTGTCAACAAAGATCTCTCCAAAAGTCCCTTCTAACTATCCAAACAATCTATTTATACAGTTCCTCTACCTTCTATCCTAATCCCATTTCCCATTATACCCTTATATCCCAAATACCCTATATCCTAACATTACTCCTTCTGCAGAACAACCTTGTCGTCAAGGTTGGAACCGGAAAGCTCAATTTGATGGCTCCTCTTCATCAACCTGTTACCATATGAAGGGAACCCACTGGATGCTGCCCTCCCATTCAGGTCTGGAGGCTTGGGTGGTGGCAATTTCTCCTCCAATGGCTTCCATTCTTCTTGGATTTTATTAGCTTCCAACACTCTGGTCACCTCTTTTCCAGAATCACAAACCCTGAGGAAATGGTCTTCCATGTCTTCAAAGCTTCAAAAAGTTCTCTCCCCGGCATTGATTCTTCCATCCACCTTTCCCTCCCCAACCTTCATTCTAATTGTAAGACCGTTCGGCCACTTACTGGGAGACCGTTTGGACTGTATTACCGTTCGGCCACTAAATGTAACTGTAATACCGTTCGGTTTCGACCGTTCCTTTATGTTCGGATTCGTCGATTCTCTATCGTTCGGTCTGCCCATACCGTTCGGTCCGCCCATACCGTTCGGTTCCGGCAGTCCTCTCGGGTTTGCAGCCTGTAGTGCTGAACTGTTCGGTTCCGACCATCCTCTCCCCTTCGCATCCTGTAGTCCTAGCCCTTTCGGTGTTGACTGTCCTCTTACGTTCGGCTTGGGCAGTCCTCTCCCGTTAGGTTCTGATCGTCGTTTCCCGTTCGGATCCAGTAGTCCTAGACTGTTCGGTTTCGACAGTTGTCTCACGTTCGATGCTAGGACGTATTCTTCAGTGGTTCCCGACTATTCACTGGCCGCCACCCTTTCAAAGCTGGTACCCCCGTTCCGTTCTCCAAATTGCACCACCACTGCCCCTTTCAGACCTTCCCAAGAACGATATTTGGCTTTCAACTTCCTTGCTCTGAACCAGTAGCCCGCGCTTCCTTCCATGCTAATGGATGCTCGGTGCACCTTTTCTTCCTCCTTCACCCCCTGGGTCTCAAAAACTGTCTCCGCCCTAGCAATCCACCCCATCGCATCAAACCCTTCGAAAACGGGTTAATCTACTCTCCTCTCCCCGTTGGGTTGCACTTCATGGCGTTCATCCCCTCTCTCCCCTTCCTCTTCCTTTCGCCAGTCCCAATGTTGGTCGTCCTAGTTGTGGCCTCAACCACCCAACATCCTTATGATTTCTTGCAAATCTTGGCATATTGCAGTATAATCTTAGCGTATTGTAGCATAATCTTGGCATATTGTTGCATAGTCTGATCGCAGCTCCCCTGTCTGCACCTTCATTCTATCAACCGAAATTTCCTTCACCCTCACACGATTCCGGCGGCGTCTCTATC